TTTGAACTGGTCAGTCCAAGTAGATGAAATAGTGGACCCAAAAGCACGTCATATATCACTCGCCGCTCATGTTAACCGTGGCTAGGAATCACACTCCTCGGATTGCCATTTTCATAGAGCAGAAAGCTAGCCACTGCACCACCACCACTTCATCCCATCCTGTGAGTGAACCCCGAGTAATTTTTCTTGCAACATTTTCCCACTAAAACACAAAAGTTGGCAGTGGCAATAAATTTATTAAAAATAAGAATGCAATATTTATTTTGTTGTGTGTTCTTATGCCTACCGCCAGCGTGCTGTCTCTTTTGTGAAGCTTTGAGTTTCCATTCTAAGCTGAGCCATGAGATTAAAATGGATTTGTCGTTGTGTTATTTTCTTTTTTTATATATAATCAGGCATTTTAACTTCTTTCCTTTGTAAAAAAAATTTCTCCCAAAAACATTGATTTTTCTGGGTACATTTGGTGGAATAGAAGAAAAAAAATACTCCAACATATATATTACTGGCTATTGTGTCTAATTATAAAAAACATGTATGCCTTATATGTTTTTTTTAAAATATATATGTCTGCCTTCCAGCGCAGCGTGCAGCCTCGCCAACGTGCAGTTATTCTAAGGGAGCATAAGAGCTGGTTTGGTCATTTAGCTTTCAGTGATCCCGCTTCTCGTTTGGGCCCAATGGCTTCTGAGATTACCCGCACCAATCCCGAACAATTAGAATACCCACTGCTCCAGCCCACAAGCTAGCCATCCTGTATTGTAAAGGCGCAGCCCTGCAATTGCTTGCTCACACACCGCTGCTGACAGACGGGGCCTCTGGAAGAGCCCCTCGGAAGGGTTATTTTATACGTGTCCTCAACGTTGGCCACACGTTGTTTTAGAAGAGGTGGGAGTACCCACACTTTAACCCCAACAAATGTGACTTTGCCGATCGACTAACCGTGATAGACCCATTGATATTGCTGGGTGGATAGAGAGGTCGGCGAGGGGGGGGGGGTTTAAGACACTTGACTCTCATTGTTTTAACTGCCACGCATGGAGATTGAATTGAGCCAGCGACCTCTGGATCGCAAGGTCAACGTGCCAAACATCTACACCACTGTAGCAGCCTCCTTCAAGTACAGTAAAAAAACTATTAAAGTGGTTTCCTGCTCAGTTGAGCTGATCTCTACGTTACAACCCTGAGTCAGTGGTGGAAATTCCACATTCCTATTGCGAGTCTTTCTACAGGAAAACCACTTTTTAAGGGTGAAGGGTTGAGTTACCACCTCTAGCCGGGATTTGATTTTACACCTTTGCCATCACAAATCACACACATCCACTGCGTCACCTGCCCATATATCTTCCAGTACCTGTATTGGAATGCACCTTTTAACCACTGGATAGACAGAGCCAATAGAGATTAAATTTAAACATACCCTAGCCTAAATATAATCTTTGGCATGTGTGTAAGCATTTGTCCCACTCCGTGTGCTGTATGTCATTGTAACTCGTCAATGACATTGCCTCATTAAATGTCTGAAATTATAGGAATGGAAGCTGGATATATTTTATGCTATGGGTCTTTTATGCAAACATCCATGGAAAAGGAATTGGCAAAACATCGCAATGTAGAACCTTCCAGAGTTGAGAGTAGTTGAGGCTTTTTCCTGTATGAATTGATTGCTGGTGTTTCTCATTCGTCTTGCGTTTGAGATGGAAAGGAAAATTAAAGGAGTGTTTATGTGGAAAAACAATTTTAATATTTTATTTTCATTAAATCAGCTACTCAGCTTGTATGACTGCCAAACTCAATAAAAAAGTATTTATCACGATTAATCTAAATGTACAGCCTTTTTTTTAACTCCACTGCTGGATAATGGCCCTCCCCATGCCATGTCGAAAACTATTTTTTTTAAAAATTGGTTTAACCAGGTAAGGCCCACTGAGCTAAATCGCTCTTTTTCAGAAGCGACCTTGTCACAAATGATAGCTCCACGAAGTGCTTTATCACGTGGAAATTTTTAGCAGCCAGATAGCCTAAATGCGCGATTCTGAATGTGGAAGGGAAAACCGGGGAACTCGGGAAAAAAATCCATGCGACCACGGGGGGAGAGACTTGCAAACTCCAAATATACAGCAAGCGTCAGGGTCAGCATCAAACTCACGACCTCTATACCAGGTGAGGTAGTGAACATCTCGCTTCCATGGTGCCCTGTCAGTCCTGTCAGTCCCAGGACTCTTTTGTGCGCTGGTCGGTACACGTATGAGATAGGAGGGGGCGGCCGGGTACCTAAGGCCACTTCAGATATCGCTCGCCACTGACGTTAGCCGCGACGTGGGAATCAAATCGCAGGCAGCTGGATTTGTGGCGCAGTGCACCAAACACTTCGCCCTCCTGCCCTGAATATTAATACCGGATGACTAATAAATAGCTTCCATTATTCTCCCAGCAGAGAGAGAGCATAATCTCCATCTAATTCACCCATACCTATGCATTGAAATGATATCAATCGGACGCATCTCTCTGGCTCATTGGCCTAATCCCCCATGTCCTATTGAAAGGAGTGCCCTTCTCCTGCTGTCGAATGTCGCCTAATTCGAGCCAAGCGAGGGGATTTTTTTTTACTGAATTCCGTTCCTAGCACCGGCTGGCATGGCCCACCCCATCCCCCCGCCTCCCCCACCCCCCACCCCGTGTTTTATCAGGAGATCCCATCCCTGTTTCTCATGGGTTTGTCGGTGTCGAGCGCCGTTTCGGCCGTCAGAGCGTGTTTCTGGCTGACGAAGTGCCGTCACCACCGGCTTGGTGAGCGATGAGTAGACTCCGGAAATTGCAGCGGTGCCTCCTCGCAGCGCGACAGCCGCCGGGAGTGCTTCTTGTCCTTGCGTCGTGTGCAGACCGTGGCAGAGCATCTGTCTTAAAGTTCCTGAAGCGCCTGCCCGTAGGTTGAAAGGCGCTTCGAATACACGTACCCTGCCCGCTGGCCTGCCATGGATTGCCGAATACAGTTACACAATACAATGGGATTCTGATTTAGAGAATGGCTGAGGATTTCTGACACGGTGTAATGCTTGGTACTCCAGAGGCTGCTGATTCGATCTCCCGACAGGTAATTGAAGCAATGGGGCAATATTCTTCAATCCCCCCTCCGCACCCCGCCTCTGTCCACTCGGCAGGATAAATGGATACACCACAGTTAGTCCATCGGGCAGGCCACATATAGTGGGATAAACGGTGGGTTCTCTCCACTTCTTCCAAGACATCTGGCCAACATGGAAAGGATAAACCACTTATTGAGAGTTCCCTCGAGTGGACATCCTTCTGGCAGCAGTGGCATGGGCAAGCAATTGCAGGGCTGCACTTTTACCATGTCTTACCTTTGAGAGTGTCTAAATGCAATTACATTTCAAGACACTGCACATATAGTGGGACATGTGTCAGGATAAAAAGAAGACCTATATATATGCCATACACTTTTTTTAAGAGAAGGACCAGTCCGCACCTCCGATGAGCACAATTTGCTACATACGGTGCAGAAGCAGTTCAACATACACGTCAGTCATAGGCAGAGGAGAAAAGACAATGAAGAGGAGCAGAGTTAACAACTCGGATGGCCAGAGGTTTAGGAGTTAAAGACAATGACAGGCAGCAGGGGAGACAGAGTGACCTCCTGGCCTTGTTTGCCAGAGCAGAGAGCACGTGAAGAGTTGGGAGAGTGAGTAGAGAGGGCAACGCTGTAGGCAGGGGCGAGTCCATTGAGGACCTTGACAGTTGAGATTGGATTGGGAGCCAGCAAACGGATCGGAGTGTTGGGGGTGTTTATGGCTGCTGACATGAAGTCTGGCAGTGGGATTATGGATCAAAGATTAGAAATGGAGAAGGACAAAACAAATACAATCGAAATACATTCAAAGGCTTCTGGCGTTGGCCGATGCGTTGGCTACGTGCCCAGCGGCGCAACATTCCAATATCAAAGGTCATAAGCATGACACTGCACCCATACCCCTAACTTGGCACAGATACAGGGACTTAGATTTGGTCTCTAACCGAGGACTCAGACGTAAACGTAGTTGCTGTGACATAGCCGCGGTCTGCTGCATATTTTTTTGCGGTGATATTGATTGAGTTTGCATTTGTGCCGCACGTTTATCGTGGAGCTTAGTGCTGTATCGTGCTTCTGGGACCTCAATAATGCATTACGACTATAAGTGGAGCTGACATTAAAGCTAAATGCCCAAATGTCAATGTAATTGCCGTGGTAAGGAAAGGAAGGGTTATTATTGGGCACAACGATATCAGCAAGGGCGTCGCATTGTGGATAAAGCAAATCATGAATGTGACTTGCAAAACAAAAGGGACCCAAGCACATTTGCGTTTGAATATTTTGACATCATTACTGAAAAGATTTATGTAATGATGCATTAGTTGTGTCAGTGATGGGGGTTCGATTCACCATACTTCAACACGCCGGTCGGTGCGGTTGGTGAACGGGAGTCGCGAATGCAGGTGTTTAGGACCGGTTCAGCTGGGAATCGAACTCGATGTTTAAATGTATTCGATTGTGAGAATTGTTCTTCAGCTCACCGGGTGAGTGAGCTGCAACAACAACAAAAAATCGGCGCATCGTTTAAACGCTTGGACACCGCGTGACAGTATAATTTGTTTCGCTGTGTCGGGTGGTGGAGGGTCTTAACGACACGAAATCCGGCCAGGTTGTTGCACCGTATCAGCTGCAAAAATCTACTTCGTGTCAAGGGGAGTCTCACGTTCATCTTGTTGGCCTTCTGAATGTGTACTGATGTAGGCTGACTCAACCTTAAATGGGTACCTGGTGTGGTGTGTAAACATTAGCACTCGGGAGAAAAAGGCAGCCATATCGCGGTGCCAGACACCCACCCCCTCGTGCGCCATGCGCGCCTTAATGGATGCTCGCTAACGGCACTTGCCCCAAGAGTCTGTTAAGGCTACACCGGGGCGGGGGGGGGATCTTTGTCTTTGTTTGGCGTGGCTCTGTACAGGAGAACCTGAGTGCGTTCAAGCACGACCCGGGCACCAACGTGCTGCTGCTTCCACTTCACACGGGCTCCAACGGGCTCAACATCATCGAGGCCACCCACGTCATCCTTGTGGAGCCCATCCTCAACCCGGCCACCGAGATGCAGGCCATAGGCAGGGTGCACCGCATCGGGCAGACGCGGTACGGCAGCACGGCGACACATAACCGGCGGTTCACCACCACCACCACCACCCCCCGCCCTTCCCCCGCGCACTGTGAATCAATGAGATTTTCTGCGGGCGAATTTCTATTTCAGTGGCGTTACGCGTGGAAGCGAAAGCTGCGAGAGGAAGTGACGTCAGCCGTACGTGATGTACAATTACGATTTGGGTTTGTCGTTTCTTCAGAACTGCTTTTTTGTGTTTAGTTTATTGCCTTTAACCCCCCTCCCCAGCACCTCCGATGAGCACGGTTGGCTACGTACGGTGCGAAAGAAGTTCAACGTACAGTAAAACCTTGGATTGCGAGCATAATTCGTTCCGGAAACGTGTTTGTAATCCAAAGCACTCGTATATCGGTTGTGGTCACGTGACGCTCGGCAGACAAAGCGTATACGTACCGCTCGTATTGCAAGACCTCGCTCGTTTATCAAATTAATATTTAAAAAAATTTTGCTCGTCCTGCAAAACACTCACAGACCACGTTACTCGCAATCCAAGGTTTTACTGTACATACATCCGGGTTTGTGCGAGCGCATGTCAACTCGTGTGAGACGGTGGGGCGACCTATGTTTCGTAGGGGAGGGGCAGGCGTAGGTGGAGAAGGAGAAAGCGCGGCAAAACTAATTTGTCACGTGCATATTAGAAAAACGACGTGGGAAAAAAACGCGTTTTACAAACGTACACAAATCATGCTCGCAGCATTGTGTGGGCAACACCACAGGCTCTCCTCACACTTGGCACCCAACATGCATTGCAAAAGCGAGTGCCAGTCGTGATGCTCAGTAGTTTTGTAATTTTGTGAAGTGAATTGCTTTTGCAGGATAGAATATTTAAATTATGACTTTTTAATATTCATAGGGATTTTACTTTGAAGTGAAGTCTGCTTTAATCAACGTATTATTTTTTTTATCTTTCAGGGAAAGTAGTGGACCAATTGGGCTCTGGGGGAACAAATTGCTGAAATGGGAGTAAAATCTAAGAGACACGAAGCAGAATACACAGATCAGAGAACAAACACAACGTAGAGACACCTCATTGAATGTTTAGAACGGCAAGGGAGATTGAACAGCACGCATGGCTAGAAGGGACATAACAGCTGATGCAGTGGCAACCTAGGGAGGGAATGTGACCGAGATAATGACCAGTCCGGAGACGGAGCGATGAGATTCGCACCTCCGATTAGCACGGGGACACCACAGTTAGTCCATTGGCAGGCCACGTATGGTGGGGTAAACTGTGTGAGTACTCCCCACTTCTTCCAAGACATCTGTCCAGCATGGAAAGGATGAACCAGTTCTCTAGAGCTCCCTCGAGTGAAGACCCTTCTGCCAGCAGTGGCATGGGCAAGCAATTGCAGGGCTCCACCTTTACTCTGTCTTACCTTTGAGAGTGTCTAAATATAATTGAAAAAATTCAAGACTGCACACGATGCGAATCCTACTGGACATCCATGAAAAAGAGCTTCATAGCCCATCGGACCTCTCCAGTCTGAATAGAGATTCTAATTTGCTGCAATGCATGTCGCGGTGTGAACATGAGCACTTACTGGCAAGCACTGCTCTCTGGCTAAAGAGAACATTTTTAAAAAATGCGTCGCAGACTTACTTTATTACTTACGAGCCCGCACGCACGGCTCGTTTTCATGGGTGGTGGTGGTGAATGCGTATGTGTATGTAGCTGATGTTGCAATGCCAAGCTAACCATGCGGTGCGAGCACGCCACACTTGACGCGCGTAACGAGCTGTAGGCAGGTGTCCAAGACCTGTCGTCGTTGAACGCGTAGGGACACGGAAAGTTACGTAAAGTGAAAAGGCCATCCAGCCCATCAAGCTCACTCCACCATGAATCGGCAAAGCGATCCGCACGGCTGCTCCCCACCCTGCCAGTGACACTTGGATAGACTCTGCCGATCACTCAAATTTGCCTTAACTCTTCAATGCCGCGGTAGTGCAACGGTTAGCACAGTGTGCTCGCGTTGCAGACGTCGATGATCTCCCGGCGTGGAACTCGAAACAATGGCCAAGTTTCTTAAATTCTCCCCCCCCCTCCGCCGCGGGCCACTTCTGTCCACCCAGCCGTATAAATGGCTTCATTGCAGCCAGTCCATCGACAGGTCGCGTTTGGTTCGGTTTGGGCAAGTTGTGGGTACTCTCACCTCTCTCAAGATGTCTGGCTGGCATGGAAGAATAAGCCAAATGCCATCTGATGAGACTCTCCAGAGCTCCTTCTCGTGGAGGCCCTTCAGCCAACAGTGGCGCAAGCAATAAATTGCAGGGCTGTATCGTTACCTTACCTTTTACTTTTAACGAGCCACCCGCAATTGTCCTTTGAAGGTTTCTTCAAGTGGAGCGGGGGCTGTCCACTCGTTTAATTAATCGATTACTTTCCTGATTATCGGTTCAGTTTACTCGACTAATCGGACAACACGAATGTAATTTGGGGGAAAAAAAAAGCTCTCGCCTCTCTTCCCGTCGTCTACGTAATCGTCAGCATCACGCTGGTTGTGGCTTATAGGGGTGGTCTTCCTGCCTTCAGCAGGCTCAAATCAGATGTGTAAATGACAATAAGAACCCATGCTTAATCGATCAATAGCGCAAGCCAGAAAATCATCACAACGTGACAAAAATGTGTACATAGCAAACAGCCATTTCGTGGTATGCAAAACAAATCAGCATTTCCTGAAAGGAGTGCATTGTGGTCCTTTGTTCTTTGGTCACCATCAAAATAATTTTGAGCAAATGTGACCCACTGACGGGCAGCGGTGATACAGAGATAGACAACTGTTGACCGGTTTCACCATTATTCGGACTCATCAGCACAGTACAGTCACCACTGCCCACTGCTGCAAAGTCAGCCTCTGGAAACCACAATGTGGAGGCTCCCATTTCTACGCTCTGGGGCTGGATACCAAGGAAGGCCGCCTTTTATCAAGGGACCGATAAGGACCACTATTCCCGGCTCCAATTTCAAGCATATCCACAGCTCGCAATGAGATGATATAACACAAAACAATAGTCCTGGCTCTCCGGGATCCGCCTAATTGGTTTATTTACTCACCCTTCACGAAAGACATTAAACCGTTTGCCAGAGAGCCTTGTCCCCTGAATGTTGCACGGCGCGTTCTACGATTGCACGTTCCCGCGGAAGGCACTTCTCTTTTGTTCTCTCCGTTGGGTGACGCGGGCGCCCTGCACGCTCTGCGCTCCTTTGTTTTTTTCAGGCCAACAGTGGTGCACAGATTTGCCGTGAAGTCCACAATCGAGGAGAAGATGGTGGCCATGCTGAAATCGGCAGAAAAGATGTGAGTGGCTCGTCGCATCGACACCGCCTGGTCTGCGTGCGTCGGCGGAGTTGTGGTTGTCGCACCACTCTTAACCCTTTCCCGGTCCGATGACGTATGTTACGTGTACGTCAGCAGTTTAATCAGAAGAAAAAAACGTCAATGAAGTAAATCTTGACTTAAAGCTTTCGTGACTGCAGAAATTAATATTCTTTGGGTCTTTCGGTAAAGTCACGCAGATAGGTTCAAAGAAAATAACAAAAAACTACTACCGCTTGTGTTGCAATCATCATGACGACCGCTTGTGTTGCGATCGAAACGTCGTAGTTTTTTGTTATTTTGTTATTTTCTTTGAACCTATCTATGTGACTTTACCGAAAGACCCAAAGAATATGCAATGAAATAACTTTATCGGTATCGATGCTCCCACACGGACGTGTGGTAGGGCGTGCGGCAGCTATCATAGAGGGCGGTCGTGTCGCTACAGTCGTCTGCGGTGAATGCAGTGTCTTTAAAAATAGGGGCGCTACACCTCTCCAAATAAAATTACCGCTGAACCGCTTGTGCGTTCCGAGATTCGGCGGTGAACGTCACACCCCACCCTGCACCTTGCAGTCGTCTCGGAATGGGAAAGGGTTAAGATGCAACTCTTTAAATATTTATGATGGTATCATAACAACGATCCTTATTGTTTATCACGGGCTTGACTCAGGGATTCCTTCCACCCATGTCTGGGACTCGGATCTCATCCACGCTGTCCTTGAGCCACCGCACTACAGGCCACAAGACTTTCTCCTTCTGCTTATTTTCTCGCACTGCTCCACTTTGTCAATCGGTACTCCCCGCTGTCGGTCTCATTTGCGAAGTTCTCAAGATTTTCGCTCAGTTCAAGAAACCCCGTGCCGGTCAATGGTCAATGGGTCCACTATGTTCGCAGCGCATTGTGCATGCGATTTGTGCTTGCGCACTGCCGCCAACGCAATTCCTGAATGGTTTTCGTAAACTGTTGTAATAATCATGCATGCCCAAGCCTGAAATATATGTTAGGTAGTACTGGAGTGCAAGAAAACCAGGTTGCATTGTTAAAATTCAAATTGGCACATTGCTAAGCCATGTTATTAAACGTAGTCTGCAGAGTACTTGTTCTTATAAAGAATAGCATATTATTGCATAGCAATGAACGTTTATACTGTAACATACTTTATTCACTTTTATATTGCTATGAAGAGGATCTTGCCATTCAAAATGTTTTGCTATTGAATGACACTGCATCCAAACTGAACCCAAAGAGTGACCAATGTAAGAAGTCAGAAAGACGTTGCACATAGAAGAAGACCTGAGGCAGTGGTGATGGACAATAACAGGGACGTTAAAAGTGCGTCGTTCGGAAACATCGAAGGAACCAGAAAGCGAGGGGAAGACCTGAGGGAGAATGGGCTTGACGACGACATCGCAAGAGATTGGCGCCGGAAAGATGTCGCCACCACTTGAGCACACTGACAACAGGACGGAGGAAAGTGGAAACAAATGACGGGAGTGTGCGGTGGACACCTACGGGCCTATCTGGCCATGGATCATGGTGACGATGAAGAGGGCCTTTGCCTGAAACGTCAGCTATTGATTTATTTATTTAGTATCACACTTACTGACGAAGTGCAGAGCTTTTGTCTCTTTAACACGTAGGCTTTCGCGACCAATATCCATAATGGAGGTTTTTTTTTTTTCGGTTAGATCGAGTAAATATATAAATGTGTTGTTAAACCCACTCGCATAATGCGCATGCATAGCATAATGTACGTTGACTCAAGAGCACAGAAGTGTGGTCATCACATCTACGCCTCTTTATAAGGAACGAAACAGATGGACTTCTCCACAAATCTGGCTGTCGCCTGATGAAGCTAGTTGTAATTACTGGCGAAACGTCGTACTCATATTGTAAATGTTGTGGCTTGGCTCTCCAACACACCGATTAGTGCTGTACTAGTAACGAATTGGCCACGTTCTGTTTACGTGACAACCCTTACTAGTTGGCTGTGTCGGATGGTGGCGGGTTTAACGTTCAGATTTATATATTTACGCGATCTTTGTTTGCCTTTTTTTTGAAGGTCAATTCAAGCTCGTGAAGTAAAAATAACGTAGGGGTTTCTAAGCAGAACTTGCACCCAATCCGCTGCACTGAATTTTCGGGGGGATTGTGGAGAAAGTCCCTTGCCCAAGGTGTGTATTGGCATTAAAATACAATCAATTTACGGGATATTCGAGCTCTCAGTTGCTTTATTGCAAATGCCAAATTTTTGGGGGGGATTTTCGCACCAAGCACATTATGTAGACCGTCAAACAGAACCGCACTAAGCATGCCAACAATATATATATTCCATTTCTAAGTTTAATAAAAAGTATTCACCATTTCCATTATTACCCAGTAGTTTATCTCCATGCCACAGGCACCAGGAGTGAGGTGGGGTAAAAAAAAAAGGGCCAGGGTAAAAAAAAAAAATCAATAATGCATTAAAAGATAGAATTCTCTTAACTCAGATTTGAAACCTCGCAGCAATTAATTTCCATTGGGACTTTATTTTCGTAATAATCAGTTTTCGGAACAAAGCAAAATCCGGACGAATCGCATCGCCACAAAAGGCGAGAGAGACAGAGAGAGAGAGAGGAGAGAGTTTGCGATCTGGACGTTCAATGCGAATGCCGGCAATGTCTCGCGGCTTGGGAACACAAATCGTTTTAGCTGAAAAGCCCGAGGATAAAACATCTGGCTACTGTGGAAACAGATCAGTTGGTTTTTTTTTTCCTCTCTCTCTCTCTCTCTCTTCTTCCAAACAGATTTCTTAGGGAATTGTTTTTATTTATTTTTATTTTCCCCGATGTGGAATTTTTTTTTCCTTTCATCGTCGCTATTGTGCTCTGAGCGGCGGCTGCCCCGATTGAAATCTAATTTTGCACGGAGCTCAAGGACTTGGAGACGCTGCGTGCATCCTGGGAATGGTGACCTTTATTTAACCATTTATTTCACCATTTCCCCCGAAATGGACTAATGTCATTTGCAACAAGAGCCCCAAAGCACTACAACGTAGCTTCATCAAAATCAGTTAATGATGATCACTCACCACCCTGATGTGACCAGGAATCAAATGCAGATCTCAGGGTTCATAGAGCAGTGCATTTAAATATATTTAGTTATTAGTATCCTACTTCTGGACATATACCATACCTGTCAACCCATACGTTTTACCGGTATTCTTGTACAGGGGAATTTCTCCCTTGTGATGGGACTTTATAGGATTAACGTTGAAATTTATAAGAGTCACGGGGTGACCAATAAGGTCTGAATTGGTCTGCAATAAGGTAGGCACTGATAAGGGGTTGACAGGTATGATATTCAATGAATGGAAAACAATAAATAGGCTGCCAATAGTTAGCAATAGTAGTACAGTATTCCATCGTTATTCATGAACTTGCTATCCGCGATTTTGGCAATCCGCGATTTTGGCAATCCGCGAATCGCATCTGGAAATCTACATAACTGCATCGAGAGAGAGAGAGAAAGTGATGAGAGAATGTTACGTGAGAAAGTGACGAGATGAAGGGATGAGGTAAAGTGATGATATTTAATGTTTACGCATTTATTAAAGGTTTTCGTAGGCCAATATCACTATCTGCGAAACGTGGTATTCACGAGCATCTCCGGAGCGTTTTCGCTCAGGAATAAAGAAGGTACTAGTTTAGTCGCTCTAAGCCATTCGTGGGCCGTATCGATTGTTCCTCCGGTGTCACCGCGATCCATCGCCCCCAAGGCAGGCCTCCTGGATAGGCCTGGTCCGCAGCATCGAGCGCGACGATCCGGGAAGCGGCACCAGGTTGAGCGTGGGTGTCCCCTCGGGTATCCCCTCGGGTATCCTCTCGGGTGTCCCCTGGGGTATCCCCTCGGGTGTCCCCTCGGGTGACCCCGCGTGCAGCCGTGTTTTGTTCCGGATCTATTTCGGACGCGCAACCACCAGATGGGGGTTGTATCCAATAGGAATGTAGGGGTGGGGGGTGACGGGATGGGGGGGACCAAGGCGAGACATTCAAGAAAAAGATGGATTGAAATGTTAAGGAAGCATGTGGACTCCAACAGCTGCTGTCTGGAGAGTGGAGGAGGAGGGGGGAGGGAGAAGAGATGGAAGAATAAACCAATTTTAAGAATCTTTATTCACCCACCGGCCCGCTGACACACTGGCCTGGCAGAAAGATGACGACGATGGTTATGGTAGCATCCTTATCGGTTGAAAATGCATCGTTTAATCAAACACAGCTGGCTGAGATGTGGTGAGATCCTGCTTGTGACACATATATATACATAAAGCCACACAGACCTTCACAACGAGCTATTCGTTCTGTCAAAAATAAATAGCGCTGTTCAAGCTGCGTGAGCCGCGTTGGTACAAAGAGGGGGGCGGGGGGGGGGGCAGGGGTATGGGGAGGGGGGGCTTGGTGGGTCCGGGTGTGGGAGCTTTGTGGCTTCACGTCCACACCCCCCCTGCCGTGGCCTGCCCATCGTCGCGATGCCCAAAGCATACAGGCCATCCCAACAAATAGATTTTCCAACAACATCTGCTCGTGATTAGACGCCGCACAAATAATGTAAAATTTTGATTTAAAGCTTTCGTGGCTGCAAAAATATAAAACAATATTATTTAATGTTTACGTATTTATTAAAGGTTTTCGTAGGCCAGTAGCACTATCTGCGAAACGTGGTATTCACGAGCATCTCCGGAGCGTTTTCGCTCAGGAATAAAGAGGTACTAGTTTAGTCGCTCTAAGCCATTCGTGGGCCGTATCGATTGTTCCTCCGGTTTCAACGCGATCCATCGCCCCCAAGGCAGGCCTCCTGGATAGGCCTGGGCCGCAGCATCAAGCGCGACGATCCGGAAAGCGTGACTTTACTGAAAGAACCAAGAATACGAATAATTTAAAGTTATGAGAACAAAAACATCTCCCCCATAATGCTTGTGTGTATATAATGTGTATATATATGGGGGGTGGTCGTGTAGTGATTAGCGACCCAAATTTGATTCCCGCTCACGGCCAACACCAGTGACGATTTTCTGAAGCAGTCCTGTTCCTCCCCTAGGTCGACTCAGCTTCAAATGAGTACCTGGTGTGGTGTCTGAACATCGCCACTGGGGAGACAAAGGCGGCCGGGCGTGGTGTTGGCCACCCACCCACCCCCTGCGTGTGCCGTGCGGGCCGTCCTTCATATGTGCTCGCAAACAGCACAAAGGCTATGTGGGGAATCTTCGTCTTTGTGTATACGTATAAAAAAGAAAACATTGTTGGTGGCGTGCGATTGCCTGCTAAGATGATGATGGTGGTGGTGTGACGTGCCTTGCGGGGGCACGTCGATTGCGGCGCTTCCACACTGTGCGCCGTTTTCGGGGTCGCCAAATTAGATTGCGTCCCGTAATGGTGCGAGGGCGATAGGCGTGTAAATCACGCCAGCGGTTTTCATCAAAACGAAAAAATGAATATCCGCAGCATTTTCAAGCAAATATCCACAGGCCTTGGATGCTGCCGCGGTGTCATGGTTTGTGATGGCTTGCGCGCTAGGCTTGCAATCCAGAGGTCGCCAGCTCCGTCTCCCGATGTCGCAGTTGAAACAACGATGCAAGATTCTTAAATCCCCACCCCCTCTCTTTTCCCACCTCTGTTGTCCTTCCCCGCACCTCCGATTAGCACGGTTGGCTACGTACGGTGCGAAAGAGGCCCAACAGACATACATACCCAGCAGTATCAATGCATTCCACCAGTTATTCGACGAGCAGGTCACTTGTGGTGGGACGCAGTGTGCGTACTCCCAGCTCGTCCAAGACGTGGAAGAGTACACCATACCAACTTGTAAGAGGTGGCTCTCGAGAGCTTCCTGTGGTAGTAATAGTAATAATAACAGTGTTGCTTTATAAGGCGCCACGATAATTCTCCACGACTCGAGAGCCATGGAACCATACCTTTGGGTGACGCTCGAAAGCCAGGCGGTATAACCTGCGCCTCGTAAGTGGAGTGGCTTGAGCAAGGGATTGAAGGGGTGCACTTTTACTGTCAATTTTTTCATTACCAACGGGCCAATGTTCTGGTTAGTCACTGGCAATCAGAAGCCGCTATTTGTTGTTGTCCGCTGCCTTCTATTGACGGGAGACGTGGCTTTGTTCGTCTTTGTTGATTTTCCCCTCCTCCTGCAGATCTCTGCCTCTGAGCCGACCACAGTCGGACGCCTCCATCTGGACCGTCACCGACCTGGCTGACCTCTTCGCCGATGAGTAATCGGAAGACGATGAGCAGGCGTAAGCAACGAGACCGGCAAAGTTTTAAGGGCAGCTGTGGCGTCGCCGAATGTGGGCCTGGCTGTCGCTTTACTTTGCCTGCAAGGCCAGAGGTTATTTCACTTCCAAAATAACGACCGAAGTTTTGAGTCCTATTTTATATTTTATTAAATGTTTGCAATAACATTAAAGAAGAGCAAAAAATAATGTTAACTTCTTTTAGCTGTCAGGCACCAGGAACCCCAGGCCATTCGGTCTGCGGTCCGCATCATTTACCAACCACTCGCCCCCGCTTAAAGGTGGTGGTGAAGAGATGTTATCTCCCTCACCTGCTACGCAGGAGGTTGTGGGTTTGATCCTGGACCCTGACGATTCCTGTTGTGTAGTCGGTGTCCACGTGTTCTCTCTCTCCCCGTGGTGGTCGCATGGAGTGTTCTCTGGATACCTCTTCAAGTTTTGCAACCCTCCCACATGTGTGCAGATCATTTAGCTGCTGCGTTAAATTCCCACACGCGAGCGATGATCAGCCACTTCGGTGAGCTATCATGTGTGGCCAGGTCGTCTCTGAAAAATAGCTAAGAGCTGAGTGGGCTCTACCTGGTAAAATAGAATAGTTTAGTTTATACATTAGATTAGCACAGCTCGATTGCACAGTCTTCCCGAAAGAGCCGTCTTCATGGGGGGGGGGCCAATGTGTGTTTGATTTTACGAGCGCTGATTGTATTCTTCCATGAGGCAGTGCAGCCACCCTTAAAAACAAACCTTAATTACCTTCGGTGAGTGCCGCAGTCAGTACCCCTTGCCATTCAACCGCCGCTGTTCAGGCGGCATTCAGTGTATGAGGCAATACCCACGAATAGGTCAAGGATAATGACAGTGGTAGCCAAGGGATGGAATGCGTCTAAGCACGTTCATCGAGGAGATGGAGCGATGAAACCAGCTTGTGTGCAAGCGCCACATCCCAGGATCGTGAAAATTGGCGACGGCATAGGAAAGGCCTTCATCCAGCTGTGGATTGATCACGTCCGATAAATAATCGCAATTTAGTGTGTTTCATTGAAGGATCGGAGGTAAGCAAGTCGGGAGTATGTGAAAAGTATGGCAAGCATGTGTCTTAGCTGAATCAGTAAACGGGAGCTTCTGAAGACTGAGACACGTGTGCAGGATAGAAGAGCGCACTTTGCCGCGACAGACACTGCGAGTGGCCCCCAGTGGTTTGCGACCATGGGGAAGACCTAAATGCACATGATGGAGGTGATGAGACTGCACGAGGATGCGTGTCAACTGTATAAGGCAGGGAAGAGCCCAATCTTAAGACGGCGGTGGTAATGAGACGGTAAAGTTTGAGGTGTCATTTTTACAACAACTCCAGGGTCTTACAAAAAGGAGCAGTGACGCGGTGCGATTGCATTCATGGCATTGATCCTGAAGACCTCTTGACCTTGAATAATTATTATTATAATTATTAGTACCAGTAGGTCACAAGGGATTATGGCAAGAGTTTACCTGTAGGTCTGTTACGGGTGTTGTCTGGGTTTTTTTGTACCATAACTCCGTCAGTACCGTCTGAGCATTGCGTTTCTCATACTTGGTATATTGGCTGCCACGCATTTGATCGAGTTGATGGGATTTCCCATCGACTGGAATCGATGTTTAGCTTTCACACGGAAGGGTTAAGGCAGTGACTGTGTGGCGACACCTGGCTGGTGTGTTGGATGGCACGCTAAGTCCGCCTGAATTTACGGTGGCTTTCTTGAGCATAATACCGTGAAGAGACTTATGAAGCCATCTGCTTTTTACGACCCCCGTTTTAAATTTGCATGGAATGTCTTTATAGAGAGGGATTTATTTTTCTTCTCTACTTCTTACTGAGGACATAGGACACTCTAACGCTTTGTCACAACAAGTTTTCACATCGGGGCTACGTTAGCAGCTCTGCAGAGCATGACATGAAACCTCATTTTTTAATTGTCATGTTTGTATTGTTTAATAATTTGCACTATCGCGGCTCTCCGTTACACAAAAATAGATTAACTTAAATCACATGGGTGGGCGGTCAAATTCAGCCGTATATTAATCCTGGTGCCTCCAGCAATCTGAAACTAAAAGGGCATCCGTCAAAAGACATTTCCACAAATGCATTGGCAGGGCATCCGACAGATGGTCACGGAGATGGGAGGGTGTGCTCATTGATCCTCTCCGCATGCAACACTGCTGCTGCTGTTGCTGCTGCTGGATGACTCTTATTATTTATTATTATGATTATTTACCCAGAAAAGCCTCACCGATTCTCATGACTCTTGTTTTTCAGGAGGGTCCAAATTTTTTCAGTCCGGCGAGGGGGGTGGGGGGCGGGAGGCTATGATTGATGTGTATAATCCTAACTGTGAGTAATTTGCGGTGTGATATTTCCAATTTGTCAAATTTGAACCAATACGCACACAATGGCCTACTTCTTGCGAATGACGTCACGGGATCTTTGAACGTCCACAGTGAAGCAGACGGCGTGTATTTTTACGGTTCACACACACGCTACTGCGGTAGTGACCAGGGCGGCCGCTGGATCTGAACCGCGGACCTCCGCAAAAGGCGGGGAACGCACCTACCGCTGGAGTCACGTCACCAGCCCCAACTCCCCAGCCAGAACGGCTTGCAGCTCACGGCACCCAACCACTCGCTGCCGGGGTCGCGAACCCCGGAGTCACGTCACCACCCCAACTCCTGAGCAGGACTGGCTTTCAGTTCACAGCACCCAACCACGCATTGCTGGGGTCGCCTCACCGTACTGAGTGACGTCACCGTACTGCTGGGGTCGCGAACCCCGGGGTCACGTCACCCCGCCCCAACTCCCGAGCCGGACCGGCTTTCAGCTCACGGCACCCAACCATCTTGACTCCCCAAGGAAGGGCGCGAATGCCGTACTTTAGGCGCAAGTGTGACCTTTTCAGAACGGGGCTGTTTGGCGGTTTGCCGCGAGGCAATGACGTCCGGGTGCGTTATTGCTTGTCCACGCATTAACTCGCAAGACGAAGCACCTGCTGCTATGGCAATGCGCACACTAAAATTGAAACTCGCAGACGGGCACGTGTGTATGTGTGTGCAGTGCATGTGGGAGATTATATTGTGTAACTGGCTTGCTATGTAGAGCTGGAGTGCGCCTCTGATTGGGTAGGGCCCCTAGAGAGAGTAGTTTTTTTCCCAGTAAAACGGCAGAACTGCTGCAAATTATCATTCCATATAATGAGCCCTTGAACAATGTGGATTTTCTGCGATATCATTTATTGCAGCTGTTTATTTTTTATAACGCGTGACGAAATGGCAATTGCTAAATAGAGCACCACTTTTAGTGCTTCCCTTTTTGGGTTCGCAGTCCACGGACATTGGTGGGGGGGGTTGATGCCCAACAGCAACAAAGGACCAATTGAAAAAGTCTCGGATGGCGCAAAGACCCCAGTCAGACCTTAGCCCGGCTCTGTGTTCAAGCTCATTGGCGTGTGCGCGCGAGTGTGACTTGTTTACGTTCTCTGCAAGCGTGCCGAGTCGCTCCCGTTGTCGTGGTTTTGTCCCTTGATATTTGATAGCGATGTGAATGACAATTTTTCCTTGTTTCATTATTAAACTTTTTAGTATTCGTCGTGTTCACGGCTGGCATATATCTTTCATTCGTAATCCCGGTGCGTGCCCTGCATTTTTTTTTGTTTTACCCTCTCCGCTGAAAGTAATAGAACTGCAAGATGTTGACTAATTATGGTTCTATATTTAATGGCACCATTTTCGCAATAATTTTACTATTGTCAGCTATGATTTGGCCGAACAGATGCTGCTCGCAATTATTTTTCACAAAGAGACAGTGATTTATTTCTCACCGCGTGAACGTAGGCGTACGGCGACGCTGCTAAATTACGGCGACGTTGATTCACGCGCGGCGGCTTTGGGGATTTTTTTCATCAACTTTATACAGAGAGAGAGAGAGAGAGGACAACAAAATCGTACACTCGCAATGTAAAATCATACAAATAGTCCCACGCGAAGAAATCAACTGAAAACGAGCACACGGCGGCGGCGAGCGAGGAGGAGGAGTGAAGGGTGCGTGTGTGCGCGATCGTGTGCTCCGCGTACATGGGGCGCCCGTCACATCGCAAACACTCGCGTGGTGGTGGTGGTGTTGGTGGTGGTGGTGTTGGTGGTGTTGGTGGTGGTGTTGGTGGTGGTGGTGTTGGTGGTGGTGGTGTTGGTGGTGTTGGTGGTGGTGGCGAAACGCCGCTTCGCCCGCCGCTCGCATTTGCCGCGGCTTCCGAGGGAGCGACCGGCGGATGCAACGGGGGGGGGGGGGGGGGGGGGGGAGATATTTTCCGCCACTTCGCCGCGCTGGTCCCGAAGCCCACGACTGATTCAGTGCTTGACGACGTTGACGAACGCGTCTCTCGCGGCGCCGTCGCTCGTCGTGTGCCCCGCGGCTGCTGCCCGCACCCCCGTGTCCCCGTGTCCCCGCGTCGCCTGCCCTTACGCGTGCAAGTCGGCGTCTTCCCAACCCCGGGGTCCTCCGCGCCGAGTTTGACGACGCGTGCGGCTCGTCTCGAGGCGCGCCCGCCGCTGCTGCGTGGGTTTTCCGCACGTCGTGCTGTGGATGGGCCACCCCCCTCCCCCCCCCACCCCCCCCCCCCCCCCACCCCCAGATGCCTTTTCCTTTTGTCCCGCGTAAAGGCGAAAACATCACCCATGGGGATGTCGGCGTGCGACCGGCGAAAACAAGGCGGCAGAGTCACCGCCCGCATCTCACCGCGGGGCAAATGTGCAATGTGTACATGTCGGGGGAGGGGAGGCCCTTTTTGTCCGTCCACCGCTTGGATGAGGCCCTCGTCGCACCGTGTGGGTCCTGTGGATTATTTAACCTCGACGCAACTGTCAGCTGTGGGTTTGTGAAAGTGCGAAGCGTAGACACGGGAGCACAATAACGGTTCAACAGCGGGTTTTGTTTTTTTTATGCACCACCCTCTGCTGCCCACAACGTCGGCCAACCCGCAGCAACCTAGTGACCTGTTTTATGCACGGTGGTCACCCATCCGAGCACTATCCAGGCGCAACCCTGTCTCAGCGTCCTGGGTTCCAACGAGGTCGGGTGATTTGGTCACGGAAACGAAATGTGCAAACGCTAGCGGTGTTAATTCACACACCCAGAAGGAAAAGCACGGGGATTAAGTGTTTTTTTTTCTGTTTCGGGATGGATGCGAAAAACGCGTACGATGTGGTCGCTGGGCCTGCGCGGGAACTTGCAAGGCCCTCGTAGAAGGTCGATTGGCTGAGTAATGCGGACTTCTCTCCAGCGCCGCACTCGGCTTGGGTAATGACATGATCGGTGGGAAGAGGCGATGGGATTTTAACCATGTAAAACACGAGGCTTGTGCAGCGTAATTACACCTAGAGTATTCTCGAGCGCTCTCTCATTGTTTTGAGTCGCTGATGTTGCGAACGCGCAGTTTAATTTGGCGACCAATATCCGTAATGGGTTCTTTTTTTTTTTACCCCAAAAAAAACTATTATGGGGTATAATTTCCGTTGACGGTATTTCATCTCCACGTAAGCTAGCGGATAAGCGCTGCTCGAATGCTCGAAATGCGGTTGTTAATATTTTCCATTTATACAAATGGCTCGCGTTTCGGATCTTGAGGCTGCCGCGGCGCACGCAAGAGCCACGATGCGTTCGGCTGAATCGCGCCCGTCGGCGCGTCGGCTCGTCCCGTCGGCGTGTTCCGCGATCAAACGCTCTCTCCAGTCGAGGCGACGTGCAAACCCGTTGGGTAACATTTTGCGCCACCGCGGTGGCGGCCTCGCGCAATTGGCCTGTCGCGCTGACGTCGCGCAGTGGCACTGCGAGCGTGCCCAATGCGTTCGTGTGTGTCGGGGGGTTTTTTTTTGTTCCTTCCTCTCTCTCCCATCTCTTCCGTGGGCGCGGCAGTTGAGCTGCATTAGCACATTCGGCAACGTCCGTGTTGTCGACGATTAATTTCCATTTCCCCGTTCAGTTTCCAATTAATTTCCATTTGACGGCCGCGCATATTGGTTCTCTCGAAAGGGTACGCGTGATGTATGAAATGTGAAAAGTAAAGCCGTGCTGGACAACTCACACTTCTCAATCCACAAAGCGGGTTTGCGTGCGTGCGTGTGTTTTCAGAACTCGAACTGGGTTTGTGTTTGTGTGTGTGTGCGCGCGTTGTTTTATAACTTGGACGGTCGTCGTGAGCAGCGCCGGCGATGAACAACACCGAGGTTTAACACCCTCGGCAGGAATTAAAACTTGGGCTGTGTCACTGTCACGTGGAAATAATAAACAGGCCACATACAATGGCCCCTCTGCTATGAGGCTGCCCCCTTCTGCAAAGAGAAAGCGGCCACGCAAGAGAGGCGGCCTCAGGGGGGGGGGGGGGAGGAGGGGGCTGGCAGGCGAGCAAAAAATATTTAAACGTCATCCCCCTGTGTTTTGTCCCCTTGCAGTTCATCGCCGTCGTGGGCAGCAGCGTACGCACAAGTATAGCGCCCCCCCCCCCCCCCCCCCCCCCCCCAGTGTCGGTGGCATTTTCTCCACGTAGGACGCTCGGTCCCCCCGCTGGCCACGTTTGAGGGGTGGCCGTCTGCGGGAGGCGTAGCGAGGTGGCCATCTGCGGGAGGCGAGTAACGCGACGGTCCGTGGGTAGCGGGGTGGCCGGCTGGGCGAAGGGGAGCCGGCCGGCCGGTCGGTGAAATCGCTGCGCGATTGAAATGAAGCTCGGCGACCGCCACGCCCACCCCCTCCCAGGCCTCGGGCGTCCGATTCTCGTGAGTTCTCGGCGCTGTGCTTCGTTCGTTCAAACCGGGGGGGTGGGGGTCGTGGGGATGGGGGGGGGCAGCCGTTCGCCCGGCAAGTCTCACGGCGTACCGTGAGCGATTCCCTCGTGCTGCGGCGACGCCTCCAAACCCTCCGCGCCTCTCTCGTGCGGCAGCTGCTGCTGCGCCTGCAGCGGCGGCTGCTGCTGCTGCGGCGTCTGAGCCCCCCCGGCCGCGTCCTCGCCGCCCTGCCCGTCGGCGGGCGGCAGCACCGTGATGGCGCACGCGCGGATCCCGCCGAGCGACTCGGGCAGGTCGAAGGCGCGCTCCCACGAGTCGCGCTCGGGGTCGTAGCGCTGCACGATCTCCACCATGCAGCGGCTGTTCCACGAGTAGCCGCCCACGACGTACACCCGCTCGCCGAAGACGGCCACCCCGACGTCGCTCTGCCCGCGCGGCATCGGCGCCACGCTCGTCCACTGGTCGCTGGCGGGCGAGTAGAACTCGCAGGAGAGGACGTCGTCGTAGTCGCTGGCGCCGCGGAAGTGGTTGCCGCCGATGGCGTAGAGGCGCTCGCGCACGGTGCACATGCAGTGCAGGCCGCGCACCGTGGACATGGGGGCGCGCTGGGCCCAGCGGTCGGTCTCGGGCTCGTAGCTCATGAGTCCCTTCTGGAAGGTGTCGTGGGTGATGCCGCCTGCGTGCGTGCGTGCGGTGGGTGGGGAGGACGGGACAAGCGGCAGTGTCATGGTTAGCGGACGGCGTTGCGAAGCCGTTCTGCTCCCGCTCGCGGATAACGTTGCTGGGGGGGTGGGGGAGGGTGGGTGTCTGGGCCGGTGCTGAGCCTTCGCGAGGTCAAGCCGGTCTCAAAGGAGTCGCCGATGCGGTGTGTGTCAGCATCAGCGCTGGGGAGGCAAATGCGTCCGGGTGTGGTGCTGGACACACCGCCCCATCGTGTGCCGTGCCGGCCTGCGTGGGCCCGCTAGCAGCACTTGTCGGCGACACAGGGGATATTTGTCTTATTCTGTGGGTCTATTGGTAAAACCACGTAGATGGAAAAAAATTATAAAAAAATATCGGTCGCAACACAAGCAATCGTCTTCAGGTGAGAGAGACGATTGCTTTTGGGTTGCGATCGAAACGTCGTGATATTTTTTTTTTATTATTTTTCTTCTATCTACGTGGCTTTACCGAAAGAACCATAGAACATGTGTTCCTGCAGTCACGAACGCTTTAAGTCAATATTTGTCTTGTGCACGTGTGTGCGGTGGGGAAGACATTGGGGAGCGCAGTTGCTGCATCTGCCGGCCATCTCGGCCATTGACCGATGACACCTTGGCCCATTCCGTGACCCGCCAGCGCAATTTCGACACTTCACGTCGCGTCAACATGTACCGCCTAAATTTTGATTTAAAGCTTTCGTGACTGCGGTGATTCACAGTCTTGGTTCTTTCGGTAAAGTCACGTTGGAAGGGAAACAATAAAATAATAAAATATATGTGAAACAATAAAATTCTCAGGACGTTTCGACTGCAACACAAGCAGTCATCATCAGGTGTGAAAACCAAATGTTCTTGCCGTTGGTTTTCACACCTGATGATGGCTGCTTGTGTTGCAGTCGAAACGTCGTGAGAATTTTTATTGTTTTATATATATTTTATTGTTTTATTGTTTCCCTTCAACGTGACTTTACCGAAAGAACCAAGAATATGTACCACCTAGCCTGGCCCAATCGCCGCGGCGATGTTACCGCGACCGACTAGCGAATGGCAGCCGTTGTTGAAGAGGAGAGGAGGGACGAGTAGAGGAGCCATGTTCTTAGCGACGATGATGTGACTTGAAAATGGAATCGCAGAAAATAAACTTCATGAATAAGGCAGGCGGATTGATGGGCAGCCCGGTAGATGGGCTGATGGGCCACGTTCCTACATAATACATGACTTGATACACATGTGCGCGCATGCATAATTTATAACGTACGCAAACATTCATTCATAAGAGGACACATAAATTGGTTAAGCGCATGTGAATGCGGTAATGAATGCGTATATGCATTACTATTCTGTGAACGTGAACGCAGGCCACTCCAGCGGTAGCAGCAGCAGTGACCTACAGCAGCAGCGTTGGTTATTAGGAAGATTCTTGTACGCTTGTTGAATTATCCACAGGGAATACGTGGTGACATTTCCGCGAGGCATCATGCCCAGTCGAGGCCTCGACACGAGAGGAATTACTTTCACGGGAATCGTCGACAACAACCGTCGCACGCAACACGTTTACTCAAAGTGACGACGACGCAGTATAGCAATCCTAAAATAAGCCCGAGTTTACAAATCTCTCCGTGGTCTGGGCCACAACGTATCATCTCGCTTTCTCGTCCCGTTCTATGCTCCCTCACGCCCCCTGCGTTCACAATCCCAGCTGCTGTCTCCATTTCCTCCTGGTGCCCAATCACCATCCCCTCCTTTCTCGCTTCCCTTACCACTGCAACGAGGTGCCCCCTGCACGTCAGGCGATCAGCCTCGCTCTCCATTTATCGTCCGTCCCCTTTTTAACACACTCGCTCACTTTCTCTCGCTTAACCCAACAATGTCGTCTTCCCCCCTCCCTTCTGCCCCATCGTTAACACCGTCCTCTCCTCTCAACCTCCCTACCCATTCATCGCACTCATCATCATCATCAACCACTCATTGTCACTTTCATCAACGTTTATTTCACTCATCATATTCCTGTCCTACCATCCCTGTCACCAACTCATTTCGTCACACTTATGCTGTATAATAGCTAATTCTCCATTCAGCGCCCTTACTCAAGGCGCTTTAAGAATTAAAATAAGCCAACATTAAACATTTTACATAGCATATATCCTACAGCTGCATCGCAATGTTCTCACGATCGGTGAACACGCAGGTTCATATACCAAGAAGTGTTCAACCAAATCAATGAGCGTTTGTTGCGTGTGGGAGGGAAACGGCAGCACACGGACGGTGCAACTCTGAAGCCCGTGCCGACGGAACGGGTCGAGGTGAGGCTTCACGTTTGCTCTAACCACAGCACGGAGCCTCCTCGATGTGCACGGGAAGAGATTGTTTTTCACAGCATTTGAGCGGTGATCCACCAAACCTTAGCTGCGTCCGATGTCGTGCTGGATTGCAGGCACGCTTAAGCCAACCGTGCCAACTTGGAAGAGCAACGGCACACGGAGGGCCCACCCCCACCGCCCCCCCCCCACCCCCCCGACGGGATTTCCGTCTCGACTCGTCAAAAAAAGGAGTTCGTTTGAAAATTAAACAACGGCGATTGGTTTACGGGGTGACGCCACCTTGGGTTTTCACGCGACCTCTGCCCCTGCCCTGGGTCCGATCGGAAGTTGCCGCCGCGGTGATCCACTATGGAGAGACGGCGGACGTGTCGCGGTTTGGAAGGGGGAGAGGGGGCAGGGGTTTTACAATAATAATAATAATTTAAAAAATGGAGCGGCAAATGTTTACGATAGCAATTGTCCTAAAACGACCCTCGTCCATTATAGCCTCAAGTGACCTTCTAATGTGTAATCCCTAAGTGAAGATAATCACTCAAAGCTTCCATTGCCCGCATGAGCACAGAACTCCACTTATTACTTTTCCACGTGGTTCCATTGCCATTAATCATCTTGCCTTAACGTAGCAACACTCAAAGACAAAGATACCCCGTATAGCCTTCACAGACTGTTGGGGAAAGTTGTGTTAGTAAGCACCTATGAAGGCTGGAATGGCACACGAGTGGGTGGGTGGCAAGCACCACGCCCGGCCACCTTCGTCTCCCTAGTGGCGATGTTTACGCACCGCACCAGGTACTGAAGGGGAATCGAACCAGGTTCGCAGCGTAGCGCGCTAATCGCTACACCACTGCTACCCACACTGTGCACATACGCACACACGCACACAGCAACTTGGCTCCCTCCTACGACAACTTGGCAGGACCCCTCCTCAAAGAGATTCTCTAGACCGAGCGAGCCCTTTTCCCCGGGGTAAACAAGCGCAATTATAATCAATAAATAATAATAACGATCGATCGTCACGAGCGGCCTGCGCGTGCCCTACCCGAGATGTACATGAGGCCACTGTAGACGGTGCCGGCGTGGCCGTAGTGAGGCTCGCTCATCCTCGCCACGAACGTCCACTCGTTGGAGGCCGGGCTGTAGCACTCCACCGTCGCTGAAACACAATCGCCCTCCGCCGTCAGTCGAACACGCGCGAGGGGCTTTCGCGCCCAGCGTTGCGATGTGATTTTTTTCGTTTAGTTCAGCCGGATCGCTCGAGTCAATTGCGCGTCGTACGCCCACCCCCGCCCGATGCAATGCGCTCTTCACGCGGACAAACGTGCCAGTGTGCGAACCACTTCGGCACACCAGTTCGGGGAGCAGCCCGCGACGGGCGCAACCAGCGTCGTGAGGCGTGGGAGGTGTACGACACATCTCACTCACGTCTTACAGCTCAGCTAGGAGACACATGGAAGAGATTGGCTGAAACTGCAATGAAGTGGCACGTTTGTTCACCGCGCGAAAACTGTATTAATTGTCTGCGTTGGGTGGAGGAGGGTTTTACGACGCATTTTAGAGACGCGACCCAAAGAAAAATGAATTACGCCACCGTGATTCGCCGTGTGTTTTTTAACGCTCTGACTAAGCTCGGAAGCGAAATTCATCGCCTTCTCTCGTACGGACATGAGCTGAGCAGCAGCTCTAAAATCGATGTGTAAGTTGTAAAACCATGCTGCTCGCTTCGGAGGGTAATGAGTGTGGACCACTCGTGCCCTCTGAACGGATCTGCCGTGTAAAGTTGCGTTGCTATTTGGGCCAAATTAATCGAATGGTTGCCCACAACGTGGAGGCACGAAGCAGAGGAAAGAATAAGGACATTTGGCAAACGTGAGAATGCATAATGCCCCACCGATAGCCGTATGTTGGGAGGCGTTCAGAATTCCATACTTAGTGGGGTTTTTTTTTGTGGGTGGGTGGGTGCGGAACAGATTTCATATCGCACTGCGATGCCGATGGCAAAAGCATGAATATAAAGTGGCGTGCAAAAAGGCAAGGAGATTGAAATGGGCGGTGATAAAGGAATATGTGCATTTAGCGAATGTCCTGGCTGGATGGGATTCATATAGTTGGGGGGGGGGGGGTGGGGGGTTTCTTATACAGTGGAGACTGCCATGAGGCTCATGTGGGGAAATCTAACAGGACCATGAAGAGAGAAAGGACAGCACGCATACCCGACGCTTCTCAAGATGTAGATATGCAAGTCGAACTTCTTTCGCACGACCGTACGTAGCCAACCGTGCTAATCGGCGGTGCTTGGTAAAGACAACAAACTAGACTCAAAGAGCAGTTCTAGATGTGGCACTATGCTGTGTTTATGTTTCTACTCAATAGGCTTGGTTTTCATTACAAACAATGCCGTTATTGCCTACCGGGACTGCACGTGTGTGTGTGTGTGTATGTCGTGGTGTGTAGTGGTTAACGTGCTGCCCCATGAACCCGGCGACCCGAGTTCGATTCCCGCTCATGGTTACTAAGTCGACTCGGGCCGCAAATTAGTACTTGGCGTGGTGTGTAAATATCTGTGGCCGGACGTGGTGTTGGCCACCCACCCCCTCGTGTGCCGTGCGAGCCTTTATAGATGCTGGCTAACAGCACTTGCCCCAACAGTCTGTGAAGGCTATACGGGAGATCTTTGTGTGTGTGCGAGGAGTGCTTGTATGGTTAGTGAGCTGCGCCACGAAATCGGCGAGCCGCGTTCAATTCCCGCTCACGGCCAACAACAGTGACGATTATCATTGCCACTCTGGGAGACAAAGGCCGCAACCACAATCGGCACAGTTGATTTCGGACGGTGCGAAAGAAGTTGAACGCACATACATAGGTGCCACTCGCTGACGGCGCTTGCCTCAATAGTCTATTTTCCCGTTCCGACGACGTGCGTGTGTGTCGTCGGTTTAATGTTCCGAATCTGTTCCCCATGTACATCATCGAAACCAAAACGGGAAGAAAAGCTAAGCTCAAAGAACTTTATCGGTACCGAGGCCCCCGCAGGGCCATGCGGGAGGGCGTGCGTGTGGCACAGTTTGGCGCCAGCCATCACCGAACGCGGCCGTGCCGCTACGTTTCTCTGCGGCAATGCAACACCGTCTTCAAAAACGACGGTGTGGGGTGAGGGGGGTGGTGGTGGGGAAGAGGAACCCTTGCCTGTGGCACGTGCGCGTGAATTGCGTGCGCCCTCACCGAGCTCCCCCGAGGCGTTCCGGCCCCCCACCGCGTAGAGCCGCCCGTTGAGCGCGCTGAGGTGGAAGAAGGTCCTCTTCTCGTTGAGGGGCGTCATGTGGGCCCAGCGGTCGTAGCGCGGGTCGTAGCGGAACACCGTGTCCACCGCCGTCTTGCCCTGCCCCAGCGGCCCACGGCGGACACGGACGGGAGAGCGAGAAGTAGGGAGGGGGGGGTGTTGCTTGCTGGTGTTTCGTGCCGATTCCCACTCCAAACGTCCCCCCCCAACTGCACTGCCCTCCCCCGCCTCCCCTCGTACCCCGCGATTAACACGCTCGGTGAACCCGTGCCCTCGGACCGCGTTGGTCTGTTAGTGGCGACGAACCGTTCACGCTCGTTTGTGAACGTTACGTATGACGTGCTTTAAAACGTTGATTTAATTCGTTTTAGAATGCGCTTCGTAAATGTAAACATGTCTTTCAGCCCCGTGAATTTTACTTTTTGCTCCCAACCCCCTCCTCTCCCCCCTCCCCCGCCCCCAACAATATTTTCACCCGGCGCCTGTGCGTCACACGATGGCACACAGCTCGTCACGACGCTACGAAATACTTGCGAGGGCAACCGAACCATGGAAGCACGTTACAGGAGCACGTTACGGGATCCATCCATTTCCCCTCGTGATTTACAAATCTGGCTACAGCACCCACAACTAAAGCTATTTTTTTTATTTCACCAGGTAAGGACCCACGGAGCTATGGAGCTCTTTCAGAAAAAAAACGACCTGGCCACAAATGATGACAGCTGAACCAAGTGGCTCATCACGTCGATATTTATAGCAGCCGAAGGCTCTGAATGCGCGTTGATTCTAAATGTGGAGGAAAAAACCGGACCACGGCGAGAGAGAGAGAGAGAGATGCAAACTCCAAATATTCAGCAGGTGTCAGGGTCTGGACCGAACCCATGCCCTGCATACCAGGCGAGGTAGTTAACATCTTGCCAGTGGCATAACGGCATCATCAGCTTAGCGGGTGCAGCAATCGGTCAGGTGGGGCCCCAATATTTGATTCGTCTCTCACGTCAGCACGTTTGTTGTTCTGTTCACTCTGTTGCTGTCAACACTTCTCACGCAAGTTGTCAAGGAGGACCCCCAACTCGTAGCTTTGGCCACCAGCGGCGGGGGGGGGGGGGGGGCCCAAGGCACCCCCCCGCCCCCACGCCAGTTCCGCGACCGCATCTCGCCACCGCGCAGCGTCAACTACGCGCGCGCAACCCACCTCACCTTCGTGTCGTAGTTGCTCTGCCCGCCGACCACGAACAGGAAGTTGCCCACGACGGCGATGCCGTGCTGGTACCGCGGCGCGTCCATGGGCGTGAGGCAGCGCCAGCGCCGCGCCCGCTCGTCGTAGATGCGCATGTCGCGCGACACCAGCAGCTGCTGGCGCAGCACGCCGCCCAGCGCCAGCAGGTGGGTCGCGTCGGAGCGGACGCGCGTGCGCTCCGACTGCAGCACCGGCTGCATGGCCGGCAGCATCTGGTAGTTGCTGGCCTCCAGCAGCAGGTTGAGGCAGGCGGCGTCGGAGCGCATGAAGTCCACGGTCTGCACGTGCGCCAGCAGCTCCTGCGTGGAGGACAGCGGCCCGGCGGCGGTGGTGATGGGGGGTTTTAAATTTCTCGCGGGATTGTTTGTTTTTTTTTCTTTCTTTCCCGGGCCCCATCCCACTGGATCCTGTCGGTGGAAGGGCCTCCACGAGAGGCGGGAGGGGGGGGCTCTAGAGAGTTCCCTCTAGCAAAGCTGGGCCGGACGCCTTGGAAGAAGTGGGAGTACCCACACTTTACCCCACCGCACACGGCTAACCTGCCAATGCGGTGTGCTCGTTTGTACTGCCGGGTTTAACAGAGGCGGTTGGCTCGGGGGTTGCGGGGGGTTGTTAAATAAAATAAAAACTTGACGGTAGATGGAATCGAACCGGTGAATCTGTGGATCGCAAGTCCAGCAGCGTGCGAGCCATCGCACCCGCGGCGACGGAATCACCAGCTACGAGCGGGCAAAAATCAACGCCGCGTGATTTTTTTTTTGCGAACGCGTCTTCAGAGATTTGCGGCTGCTAAAAAAAAATTATCAGCTGGGATGGAGGCAGAGCCGTAATATCGACATCGTGGGCAGTGCAAAGTCATTAGAATAAACTCGATGGCATCAATGGCGCCGGGATTTCAAACATTAAAAAGCCATCAGCCTCAGAGCAAGAAGAAGAAGAAGAAGGAGAAAAATAACAAACATTTCAGAGTGGGCCGTGGGGGAGCGGTGTTTGAAGAAGAAAATCCACTCCCTGTGGCTGCGCGACTCCTGGGTTACTGCCTCTCCTAATTGAGCTACCCTTTGGAAGGATCGATAAACACCGAGAGTAATGTCCAAATTGGCTCGTATCTGCGGCGGCGAGATGAATCGCGCCTGGGCAGCCGCTGCTTGATGGCGATAATCGTTGAGATGATTATTTGCGCGGTTGATGCGACGCGCTCCTCCTCCGTAATGGGGGGCGGGGGGAGTGGGGGGGGGGCGCACAGGGACGCGTGACGGTCACAGCCGATGTCGGCGGTCGTTCGGGCTTGCGGCCACTTCGCTTGGGACGTGCGATGGATCGTCGTGAACAACGCGATGATTGCACGGCGTGTGATTATTTGTCATTATTACTGCTGCGCGAGTTTGTTGACCCAGGATAGCCTTTACTGAGTGTCGAGGACCTTTTTATTCCATGAAAAGGCTCCTCCTGCCAGGTTCCTGCAGTATGGGGGTGCGATGTTGTTGCCGCTGTGTGGGACCCCCAATAAAGTAATTTTCAGGTGATTTTTGCAGCACTGGGATGTTTTGGCCAATACCGTTTACATTTCTGGGACCTTTTTGCTGATACGCGCATTGCCGTTGTACCGTTCGTCTTTTAGCGTTCTCTGGCGAGATTGTGGGCCAATCAGTTTCAAAGACAATGCTTACAATTATTATCAGAGCATGTTTGAATGTTTTGGCACAAGTACGTGTGGTTATTGTGTTGTTCGAACGTGCTTTATTTCCATAAAGGGTGAAACCTATTCTTAATTTTCATACCGTGTACAAAACCAGGGAACACGTGGGGAAAGCCATGCAGAACAGGGGGGAGGACATACACACAGCACGCAGAAAGATGCCCGATTCGGGAATCGACGCCCAGGCCCTCTTTGCTGTAAGGCACGAGTGCTACCTTGCCACCCTCACGACGATGGTTGCGCAGGATGCGAAGGTCGCACGAGTTAGTGACAGTGCGACGCGACGGCCGTCGCCACGGACGGCGATTGACATCGCGTCGAAATTTGACGATCGCGTGGAAAACCGCCACGGGGGAATCAGGTGCGGTGGCGGGGGTGGTGGGTGGGGGGTGGCGACGTCGCTACAGACGTTGCGACAGACGTCGCGACGTCGCTACCCACGTGCGTACCTGCGGCGACATGAGCGGGAAGCGGATGCGACTCATGAGACGGGAGGCGAACTCGAGCCGCGAGCCGGACGCCCTCTCGGCCGCGCCGGGCACGGCGGCGGCGTCGCGCGCCGGCGACAGCGAGTCGCCCTGCGCGTCCACCGGGTGCCGGAGCCAGCGGCAGGCGGCCTGCGGGCGCAGCCGACCACGCCGGCGCAGGCTGTCAACGCGGGGCACGAGCGGGTCGGAGCGATGAGCAGGGTGCCGCCGAGGTGTGGGGCTCGAATCCCGGTTTCACCCCACTGGGTTCTCGTACCCCCCCCCCCGCCCCGCCCCTCCCTCACCCCCATCCCTGGCTTTTCCTTAGCACGCCGATTGTCATTCTTCTCCTGCGCCTCCCTGCTTTCTATCCCCATTTCAAACTTCATCTTCTCCCCTTGCGCGAGGTCCCCGCTTGCTTGGGGGCAGGGGTGGGGGCCCCCCTAGTCACCTTCTTTTCTCTCCCTTTCGTGTGAGTTCCGTCGCGCTGGAATGAATGACGACAGATATTTTTTTCTGTTGTTGTACCCCCGTTACCGGAAACGTTTCGGTATGTCGGGCTCGCGTTTTGTTGTAATGAAAAAATAAAAAAAAACATGTTCTCCGAGTGTAGCGAGTCGATGGTGCCAGCCCCGTTACAAACGGAAGCGCACGCAAAAAAACACTTATCATGTTAAATTTTGTTTTGCACCTAAATTGGCTAAATTCCATCTCTGAGAATTAAGGATCTATATCGTTTTCAACTCCACGTGGTGAACATTTCTCTCTGCAGCAGGGGCGGGTGGGAATGTACGTGTGCACGTAACGTACGTTTGAACTTCTTTCGCGCCGTACGTAGCCAACCTTGCTAATCGGAGGGGCGGAGGAAGGAAAACAAACTAAATACAAAAAAGCGGTTCTAAAGACATGAGGAAAGTGCTGTCCCTCTCCTGTGTGAACCAGAGGTTGCTGAAAGACAGGGATCTCAAAGGGAGCTCTGTGATGTCCACTTCTGTGGTCCAGCGATTCACCGCTCTGCGGGACGCCGGATTTTAAAAAGAGAAAAACGCGAAGCAATACAATCGAGATGCTAAAACAAGAAAACAAATATTTTTCGCGCAACCGTGGCCCCCAGAATCTGAAGAATTCATCAAATCATCAGGGGGAGCAGGTTTCCATAAATCACGAATAGTGAGCTCATGAATCTATTTTAGCCCATTGGTGACTTGCCCTCAAGGCCCCCAGCAACCGAGAGCCTAAACAGGGAGGGGAGCTGCTAAGTTAAGCCCCCCCCCCCCCGTCTCACTTTCACACGAATGGGAGAGATCTCATTTACTTCTCAGCGGTTGGTGAAGGTGACACTGCTGCGGGAAACATTAACAGTGATCACATCGCAAAGCGAGCGGCGCGCTGATGACGTCCGTGTCGGGCGGCTCCGAAGCCCTGGCACTCTACCCATCATCGGCCTGTCCCGAGCTGCAGTGCAACCGAAAGGAATACTAAAACTCTCCAATGGGTAATGCATCAAAGCGTTGATGATTAAGCAGCTACGTTAACCAAAGGCTCAAAATATGAATGATGAGAGGGAGAATAGCACCCGCGTTCACGATGACAGAGGTGTGGTTTCTAGAAATGTGCACCAATAAATTAAATATTTTTGTTATTCATATTTTAGCCATTTCTCCCAGTTTGAAGCAAATTGTGCTGTTCATGTGGATGTCATTAGACGGAGAATCCATTTAGATCTCCCGCAGTGCAGTGAATTGCCGTGTGTTACAGAACGGTCCACAGAAGTGGATATCACAGAGCTTCCTTTGAGACCCCTGTCTTTCGGCAACCTCTCGTCCGCAAGGGAGAGGACAGCACTTTCCTCATGTCTTTAGAACCGCTTTTTTTGTGTCTTTAGTTTGTTTTCCTTCCCCCACACACCTCCGACTAAGTGCTGTTGCCTACGTATTGCACTAAAGAAGTTCAACATGCATGCATACACGGGCAAGGATCATGGTTACAAATCACACTCGCAAATATGGTTGCACCCAGCGTTAATCTTCTGATGGCATCCTGCCCTGGGACCTCTGGGTGCCCCCCCACCCCCCACCTCACCACCCCACCCAGCCACCCCCCTCTCCCCGCACGCCAAAGCCGGTGGGATCCAACGCCGACGCCTCGCTCGCCGCTCACCTGGAAGAGCTGCAGCTCCGAGCAGCCGCGCAGCGAGTCACTGCCCAGGGCCCAGGCGAGGCGCTCGAACGGCAGGCGCAGGAACTCGCCGGTGGCCAGCAGGGACGTGAAGCTGCGCAGCAGGAAGGCGTTGACGTACTTGTCCACCTCGGGCAGGTGGTACGCCGTGGCGATGCGCCCGACGTCCACGCAGTTTTCCAGAGTCACCTGCGCGGGAGGTTGCAGCGGCGTGAGAAAGGCCACGTGCTCGGTGGCGGTGTCATGTGACCTGGCGATCGACGCACTGGGTACCAAGCCGTTACGATGAATCGATCTGTCGATTAAAACGTCCGTCCCGGGCTCAGAGGGTCAGGGCGCCGAGCCGACGCCACTGAGGTTGCTGGGTTCGAATCCCACGTTTCAGCCGCCTGTGAACAAAAATTGGCTTCTTGAGTGTTCCAGCGCCATGAGGCGATGGTCTCGGCCCGGTATTTGCTAACCTGCGGATTCTTAAAGGGAAGCTCGGGGAAAGCCCCCTCAAGAGAGTGTTTTTGGCCTACTCTTCGACACCCGGCAAAATACCGTCGTGGAAGCGGTGGGCGCTGTCACACTCTGCCCCACCGCACGCGACCTCCACGATCGGCTGGCAGCCGTGAACCCATTGAAACGACGCGGAAATTAACGCAGAAAATAAGCAGCTGTTGCCGTGTAACTACGCTCCTGTGTTGTGTTCCCCAGGGTTTGCAACACGAGTTTTTAAGCTCCGTTACGGTCCGGTGCATCGTCGTTGGCCCGGCAGTGATGGTCCATGCACCATCGCTGCCGACACGCTGTCGTTGAGCGTCAGCGCGGTGATGTCGCCTGACCGTAATTGCTCCTCGTTTTATAAAGTTTCAGATTGGTGTCGGCGAGACCGGGAACACCCGGCCTTAGGCGCAGCGCGTGCAAGATAAGAACCGTGTGTGCTCGTTTTTTCTTTTGTTTGAACCGCTCCTGTCTTTCAAGGTGCGGAAGTTTTTTTTCCGCTGCACCCGTGGGCACCGGCGACGAGGTCACGTTAGCCTCGGCGGCGCTGGGTTCGTAAATCCCCGGGGCCGCGCCGGCAGATTTAACATCAAAGTCTTCTCAACCGACGACGCCGGAGATGACGGTGTTTTTTTAAAAAAATATACGCTGCAGCGCATTGCGGTGTCACGCGCTCGCAAACACACGCAAACACCGTGGTTTGCGCTCTCTCGCTGCTGCAAAATATAGCCCGTGGAAATCAAATGCTTATTTCGGTGATGCCGCTGCTGCGTTTGGCAGAGGGTGCACGAGCACAGATAAGCTAATAAAAAACACATTAATCAATATCAATGCCTGAATAGGAAGGCAGCGCTATTGAATGACTTCCTATTAAGGCAGAGTTATTGGCGAATGTGTTCGGTGTTTTTTTATATATATAGTCAATGAGCCAGAACAGAAATTGGTACCATATAAGGTAGCAACAACTTTTATAGGCTTGATTTGAAGCTTTCGTGACTGCAGGAATCCAGTCTCTTTGGTTCTTTCGGTAAAGTCACGTAGGTATAAAAATACAATAAAACGAATCACGAGGTTTCGATCGCAACACAAGCGGTCGTCATCATCGTACCGATTTAATTAGAGGGTGAACACAGGTGAATTATTTGATCACCCCACTTCAAGTTAAATGGGTATCACAGAATTCACTGCAATTGGCCACACAGAGAAACTGGAATCACTGAAGTGATGCCACCTCCGCTGGGTCCCACAAGTGAAACATCTGTTCAGCGCTCATGGACTCGCACAAGTGAAACGTCACACTTAGTTGCGATCCCTGGTATTATCCGTGATCTCAATCAAATTCCGAGGAATGTCAATTATTATTTGTGGTTTATCCCACACGTGGGTTCTTCCCATTATCCCCACCGCTCATACCCTGGACCCAGAAGTTGTCTCCCAGAAAACTGTCGCTTTGTCCTATTCGAACGATTTTTTTTTTGTAAACGAGAGGCCCAACCTGGCAGTGGTGGAAAAATGTGTCCCGTCTTCCACATTTATCTGGAGATAAATGGAGTAGCCCAAACGTGGCAGCATGACCGCTATGGTTTTCATTCACTTCGCAGATAAATAACCTGGAAGCGCTGAACTGAATATAGTATCCACCACATGTGTTGATCCTATTATCCGAGTTTGGTCACAGATAATTAAACACGGATATCGGGAGTTATTTTTTTCACATAATTGCCAATTACGCCTCTTCCTCCTGCTAGCGTTGACACAGATAAGATAAGGCACTGCGATTGCGCGTTTAAAAATGTTCCCTCCTCTGCAGTGACACACAATCTCATGTTTGTGAAACAAAAAACCTCAACAGCGCGGAGTTGCAATCTTGAGAAATTATACTCGTGGACGCAAATCCGCAAGCAAGTGAGAGACGACATCGCAGTGACCGTCTCGTGCAAAGCAAGTGTGTTGTCGGAGGGGGCATGTTGCTGTGAGAAAGGGCCCTGGCTGGTGACCAAGGCTCGGGATGGAGTGACAGCCAAAGGAGAGAACGCGCCCGAGAGCGCGCGCACTGCGGAGATGGAGCGATGAGTTCCGCTCACGTGCCGGTGCAGCACCGCTCGTGCCTATCGCAGGCCCGTCGGGGGATAGTGACGGCTTTGGTTGGGGGGCGGGGGGAGTGGGGTGGAGCCCTTCATTCAGCAGTGGATCGATCATGACTGACAACGCCGATGATGATGACCACGGACGCACGCGACTGGCCAAAAGGGCACTGTGTCTAATTCAAGAGCCTGCCTCAGTGTTACTTATTAGTCAGCTAACAATAGTTCAATCAATAAGCACTAAAGAAGAGAAAACAAGAGTCGATATTTGCGCCTGTGGGCAATCATGGAGACTTCTGATAAGTCCTAAATGAAGACCCAGTCATCGGTCTAAATGTTAACCATCTTGTTTTTCTTTATCAGTGAATATCGACTCCTCGTGTTTTGTTAAGTTTTACCGCTGATTGGCCGGGCACAAGGCAGGCAAGGGAAAGTTAGCAAATGCACGGTGATCCATCGCGGGATTTCGGATCGTTGTTAATTCAGTCCGTGGATTTATTTTTTAATTTTTAGTCTCAGACGACCCGATCGCATCACTTGCGAAACATTTTTTCTAGCTTTAGTCTGTGGACTTGGCTCTCTCCCAGTCTCGTCGATGTAAGCGGTCTAAACGTTTCATCCTTTAAAACTATTTCACTATTAAACTATGGTTTTATGATTTACCAGGTAAGGCCCACTGAGCTGTAATAGCTCTTTATCAGAAGCGACCTGGCCACAAATGATAGCTCAACGAAGTGGCTTTATTATCACGTGGAGATTCATAGCAGCCAAAATACTGTTTACACATGTGTCTGAATGTGGAGGGGAAATACCGGAGGACCCGTAGAAAAATCCACGCGACCATAGTGAGAACACGCAAACTCCAAATATGCAGGCGTCAGGGTCGGAATCAAACCCACGACCTCCTGCATATCGGGCGAGGTAGTTAACATCTCGCCACCGTGGCACCCCAATATATTCAACGTCGGTGTGAGGGGCATACGATTTCTCGCCTGCAATGTTATCCTTTCAACCAATCGGCTAATGCAGTAAATCTTTGCATATATATAGCCAATTGCCATCTTAGGATATACTCCAGTGCACTGCAGTCTCTAATGAGATCACTAAATTATCTCAATCTGCATATGCTGGCAGACTCGTTAATTTCGCCTCGTCAGTCAGTCACGCTGTGGTCTTTGGCGAGGTAGCAGTGTCTGAACTAAAAAAAAACTTTTTTTTTTATTTGACCAGTTAAGGTACCGCCGAGCTAAGCAGCCCTTTGTCAGAAGCGACCTGCCCATCACAAATGACAGCTCGAACCAAGTGGCTCATTACGTGGTAATTGATAGCAACAGCCAAAGACTCGAAACGCCTGTCGTGGTCATCGTCACGCTTTCGATGATTTTTCATTCACTCGTCGACACCATTGGCTGAAATAAAATAAAAAATATATGTTTACGTGTTCATTTGACGAACAAAATTAAGACTGGGGATGCGGAAGGCCGTGGTTGTTCAAAGTGGCGTGCTGTGGACAAAGATCACCCGTATAGCCGTAACAGGCTGTTGGGGAAAGAGGTGTTAGCGAGCACCTATGAATGGCGGAACGGCACACGAGGGGTGGGTGGCCAGGTCCACGCCCGGCCGCCTTTGTCTCCCGAGTGGAGGTATTTACACGCTGCACCAGGTGCTCATTTGAGGCCGAGTCGACCTAGGGGAAGCCCAGGACCGGTTCAGATAATCGTCACTGGTGTTGGCCGTGAGCGGGAATTGAACTCGGCTGGCCAGGTTCGTAGCGTAGCGCTAACCGCTACACTACCGCTCCCGACACAGTTAACAAAACAATACTCAACAGTTTTTTCGGTGAAGTCACGTTGAAGAGAAACAACAAAATAACAAAATCTATATAAAACAATAAAAAAAAATTCTCACGACGTTTCGACCATAACTCAAACGGTCATCATCAGGTGTGTCGGTTTGCATAAATTTATTTTTAAAAGGCATATTTATTTATTTATAAAAAAAATTCGTCTCCCCCCTCCTCTTTTCAAAAAAAAAAATAGATGGACTAGTCCTGGGCAAACTGCCAATCGCTGCGCGTGACGCAAACGGTTTTTTTTAAAATAAATAAATAAATATGCCTTTTTAAAATAAATTTATGCAAACCGACACACCTGATGATGACCGTTTGAGTTATGGTCGAAACGTCGTGAGAATTTTTTTTTTATTGTTTTATATATATTTTGTTATTTTGTTGTTTCTCTTCAACGTGACTTTACCGAAAAAACTAAGAATATGAATTACTGCAGTCACGAAAGCTTTAAATCAAAATTTAATACTCAACAGGTTCTTCAGAATTGCTCCTACTTTAAAAAGGAATAGTATACAGCGTGGGCCAAAAATCAGGACACATGGGGTTATTTAATTTATTTTAACACTGGCATTAAAACATTTTTCATTGCTTATTCTGAGTTAATGTTTTATCTATGGTCGTTATCCATGTTTCTTCTTCCTGTTGGGTCACCTCAAATCCGTCGTTTGCAAAACCCAACCAAGAACCCTGAATAAATTTAGACGAAACACAAGATTACACCTGTAATCGTTGAAAAAAGGCCTAAATTAGTCAAACGGGTATTAATACGTGCATTGATGTTCATGAAAGTCAGTTTGAATATTTATAACAAATAAATAAAAACACCTCTGTGATTAGTTAAAATAACTATAACCCTATGCGTCCTGACTTTTGGGCCACCCTGTATAATAGGGGGGGGGGGGGTTTGGGGGAAAAAAGGCCCTTCGTGTATCTACGTATGTAGAGGTCTGTGGGCACGTGGCCCATGGATCTCTCTCTGGGCCACTGCCCGGAATCGTTGCCTATGAGACGCTTGTTATTCTGAAGGCCGCAGTGTTATTTACGAATCTTTTGAGTTTCATTTTTTTCTTTGGTCACTACCTGCTTCAGTGTGACGGCAAAACATTCTGAACGTGGCTCTGGGTCGGAGTGCGGATTTTTGTACTCAAATGAGTTTATAAAAGTAGCATCCCCTCACCTGACCCGGCGGGGCTCAGCGCTGTAAACCACGGGCGAGGCGGCACGTTAATGCATCAACGAGATTTACGCTCTGCAAAATTAAAAAGGGCCCCACAAATTACGACACAAATAACACAAATAACGGAGCCTCACGTCGGCGGCCGCGGCTGCAAAGAATAATAGCAACGACAAGGAAAAATAAATCAACCGTGTGTGTCTGCACATAAGGACAGCAAGAGCTGGGAGGTACGTGGTCCAGAAACTAGATGCGGAAATTCCACATTCCCATGCCAGGGGTGGATTTGCGGTACAGCGGCTGGCACACTCTGCTACGAACCCAGCGGCCCCGAGTTCGATTCCTGGCTATGGCTCACGTCGGTGGCGGGTGATAAATGAACCACTCCTGGGCTCACTCTTCATCAACCCACGCTGAACAACATGTTGAAGTATGGTAAAGTAACCCTAACAAGACTGCGCGGTGTGAGGGAGGCCTTCGACCAACAGTGGATTTACAAACAGCTGAACGTGTATTATCTGCGTTTTCCATAACAGAGGTTTTTGGGTTAAATCGCCTAAATGTATAAATGTGCCGTTAAACCCACCACCACCCGACACAGCCAACTAGTAAGGGTTGTCACGTAATCAGAACGTGGCCAATTCGTTGCTAGTACAGCACTAATCGGTGTGTTGGAGAGCCAAGCCACAACATTTACACAACATTTGAAACCATTGGGGATATTGACAGCTGCTCGACGACAATGATGATATGATGATGGGGGGGGGTCGTTGTGTTTCGTCGGGGGGGCCGCACATCAGGCCGTCAGGGGCCGCCAGTGGCCCGCCGGCCTCGCAATGCCGTGGGGTGGGGGAGCACCTCGGAGATGAGGAAGTCCTTGCAGAAGGCGAGCACGGGCAGGATCTGCAGGAAGCTGGCGGCCTCCAGCGTGTCTGCGAGCGAGTCCATGCTGAGCGGCAGGCGCGCCGTGTAGATGAACGCCACGATCTGACGCAGCCCCGCGGCGCTCACGCCGTGCAGCCGGATGCAGCCTTGCTCCTGCTCCATCATCCCGCCTGCGCGACAGCAGCAGGGGCAGCGCGAGCGGCAGCAATGGGAGCGGTGCGAGGAGGAGGAGCAGCAGCAGGAGAAGGAGCGAGCAGCAGCAGGTTGAGCATCAGCAGGAGCAGGAGCAGCAGAGTAAAAGCAGCAGCAGCAGCAGGAGGAGCAGCAGGAACAGCAGCAGCCATCACTCAACAGCAATATTAATTGATGTAGCATATAACTTCAGGCGCATCATGTTTACATCATGCGGTCCCTCTAGTGCATTGTTCCACCTGCTTTCTGCACAGCAGCAGCAGCAACAACAACAACAACAGCAGCAGCAGCAGAATTCAGCCATTACTCAACAGCAATACCAATTGACACGGGCGTCAATTTCCGATCGCATCATCTCAAGTCGTGTTGAACGTGAAGCTCTGCTTCTGCTCCATCATACCGTCTGCTGTACCAACAACAACAGCAACCACGATCGAACCCAAACGGAACTGATTATGAATTATCATATTGTTCGTGAAATCACACGCCAGAAACTACACAACAGGGTCGTCCAGTTGTCTTACGACCCCCGTATTAATTGACCCTTAACATTTTTTGCCCTTTGCATATTAATTTCTGTTTTAAATAACACGTTTTTTGTTTGTTGTTGTAAGTTTCAAAGGAATCAATGGCAGTCACAAGACCACCCTGTACATTCGGGTGGATAAATGACTCCCCACTACCAACGAGCCATCGGAAGGGCCTTCAGCCAGCAGCGGATAAATGAATGTCCCTGCGTCGTCGTTGTTATAAACATTAGTGGTGGTCACTACTTGGGTTTTCGCGCCTCTGAGCTATTACCTTAATTGTAAAAAAAAAAAATCGTTAATGAAGAACGCTGCGTGCTTTTGTTATTTGTGCTCGAGCCGCACTGCCAAGGGGCAGTCCCTTAAGTATATTTTAAATTTACATTTCAATTAACTCCTTCCTCGAAACTACATTGGCAAAAAGACGATGCTGACCGCCAAGGCTGCTGCTGCGTCCAGCCCAAATTGAACTCGCCACGTGCCACTCCCCAACAGCGCGAATGCCCCTGCTATTGGGGGTTGGGATGGAAGGGGGAAAACTACGGTTGGATGGCTTTTTCAGGTCAGCTCTAAGCAAAAACGATCGGTTATAAGGGATATACAGGGTGCTTCAAAAATGTTTTAACACTTATATGGGACTATCGTTTTTTTAATGGAAAACAATGGATAATACACTGTAACATGATAACAAATGTAATGTTAATATCTTCAAAAAGTCAAAGAGTCTCCACTTGTCAACAGGGTCTCCGAAGTGTTAACGTTGTTTTGAAGCACCCCTGTAGATCAGCGGGGCAGCTCAAGGGATTTCAGCAGCCCCGTGTTTTCTGCGTGTCAGCGTGGCAAGATAAACCCTGCGTGTCATTGCCCGTCCTCGAGGTGAAGGTAACGTTGCAAGCCCTGCAAACGTCTTGCTCTGGCCCCACTGCCTGCCCGAGAGGGCCTCGATGTGTCCTAGAGGGACGGACTCAAGGCGCGTTGTTGGACCCAGGTCGCTCCTCTCCGTTCGGATGTTTTCCGCCCGTGATGTCGCCATCGTCTCCTTTATATTCTTAGCTCTTTCGGTAAAGTCACGTTGAAGGGAAACAATAAAATAATAAAATATATATAAAATTAATGCAAACCGACACACCTGATGACGACCGTTTGTGTTATGGTCGAAACGTCGTGAGAATTTTTATTGTTTTATATATATTTTATTATTTTGTTGTTTCCCTTCAACGTGACTTTACCGAAAGAGCTAAGAATATGAATTACTGCAGTCACGAAAGCTTTAAATCAAAATCGTCTCCTTTGTTGGGCTCGGAGCAACAAGAGCATCGAGGGAGCGCATTCCGAACGATTCGTCGACATTTATGCGTATTTGGTCCTTGTTAGAATTTTTTTTTTTTAAGGCAAAGGTGCAACCCTGCAATTTCTCACTCCACTGCTTGGCGGAAGGTGCCTCCACCGGTGGGAAAGGGCGCCCTCTTGGAGGGTGTTTCCTGGCTTCGTCTTTCACGCTGGACCAGGCGGGAGCGACCCGTCGCTTTACCCCACCGCTCGCAAACCTGCCAAACCCCGACTCGCTGTTGGTGCATCGCTGCATATAGTCCTGCTGAGTGGACAGTGGCCAGGAGGTTTATTTGAGACGCTCGGGGCGCTGCAGTCCTCGAAGTAAACTTCAGATGCGCTGTGGGCACGAACAACGCCTGCTCGCAAAGTGCCCCCTTTGTGCCCAGGGCCTGGAAAGTAACTCTCACGTGGCCGCTCTTCCCCTGCCGTGCCGCCGCCGTCTCGCGATGTCCCGTGTGGGTGCTTTCGGTTTGTTTTTTGTGAGCTGCTTCTGGTGTTTACCATCCGAATCCCCCCCCGCCCGAGATGATTGATGACCACCTCCCGGTTGGATGCAAGACGTAACCCCCACCACCCCCGCACCCCCCAAACACCCGCCCCCCCGCTGCCCCCCCCGCCCCCCGCTGCCCCCCCCCGCCCGCCCCACCCTGGACCCCCCCAGCCCCCCGCTGCCCCCCCCCCGCTGCCCCCGCCCCCGCTTTTCCGCAGCGTTCATGCAGCGGGTGTCACAAATCGTTTGGCGGGGGCCGTAAAACGCACGCGGCACAACGACGATAAACAATAAACAAGATGAACAATATAAACAGTACTAGATTTAAAGCTTTCGTGACTGCAAGGATCCATACCCTTTGGTTCTATTCGCTAAAGTCGCGTAGGTTTTTTTATTTTTTTTTAACCTACGTGACTTTATCGAATAGAACCAAAGAGTATGAATATAAACAGTAAACAATATAACACCTTCCCATCGCAAACTTCATGGTGACGCATTTGACGGCGGCGGCGGCGGCCGTTCAACAACGGAGCTGTCCTCTCGTCTCCCCGGAACGACGCAGGTGCAGCTCGCGAGCCGTGGGGGAGCGTGCGTGGCTCCATTCATTGTCCCACCATTGTCTGGACTGGCGGTAGTCGAGAGTGGTGTTAACATTTAATTGCAGTCTTGCCCTCCCCCTCTCCGCCTCTCCCCTCTCCCCCGGCTATCGACGAGGACATTCAGCCCGGGCGTAAGCGCCTAATTATTATACGGTGCAATTATTAATTGCAACAATCGGGCCTTCTTCAGTACTACGGGCGGCTCCTGCTCTCGGTAAAATAAGCAAGTGCCGGCTGGATCGATGAGACGGTGTTTTTCCGATTATTGTTTCTCATCAAACACGGCAATGGCGCGTTCAACTTGTGCATCCGTGGCTAACTCGGCACCTATTTCAATTTGTTAATGGGACAATAAGTCAACAGAAACGCTTGCGCCAAATTAATTGACGGAGCTCCGGCGACACGAGGCCGTGGGCAGGTGCTGGGTGGCTTGTCGAGGCGCACGTCGAGGGACCGTGAGAGGTGCGGTGGTTTGAGCAGGCCCTCATTCAGCATTGGATTGACCAAGGTTGCTATTGATGATGATGATAAATTTATATTCCACGCACAGCAGCAAGCCCAGCGCTTGACATGTCTGTGGGAACCAACTTAAAAGCTTTTTGCGATGCAGGGTCATCGTCTGAAACGTTGGGCAGTGTTATTAACACATGTCACATTAATTGATCATTTATGCTTGTGCATCAGTGCCAACACATCCATCGCCTGTGTTTGTTTGTTTTTGGTTATAGGGGGTAAAACGAGTAAAACAACCAGGAGCATGCAGCCGCACGTGATCGGCACAGAGCTGGCTGAGTGTGGGCTTTTGCTGGGTGCGTTACAGGCCATTTGGGAATGCTGCCACGCTGTAACGGTTTAGGGCGCTGGACTTGCAATCCAAGCAGCACAAAAGTTGAAACAACGGTGGAGGGTTTCTGAAAACCCGGCGCACATTTGTGCACACCCATTTTTATTTATATTATTTTACCAGGCAGGGCACCACGGAGCTATGTAGCTCTTTGTCAGAAGCGACCTGGCCACAAATGATAGCTCAACGAAGTGGCTTATCACTGTGTAAATGCATAGCAGCCAAATACTCTGAACGCACGTTGATTGTATATGTGGAGGGACAACCAATAGGACTCGGGAGAAAAATCCACGCAACCACGGGCAGAGAGACATGCAAACGCTAAATATACAGGCGTCAAGGTCGGGATCGAACCCAATACCTCCTGTATACCAGGCGAGGTAGTTAACATCTCGCCACCGTGGAGCCCACGGACGATCGGCAGGTTGCGTGTTGTGGGGTAAAGTCTGGGTATTCGCACACCTTCCAAGACGTCTGGCTGACGGCAAAGGAGTCGGCCAAAAAGACGCTCAAGAGGTGGACCCCTGCGGAGTTTCTCCCCACCAGCAGTGACGCGAGCAAGCCGTACCTAGCCTATCTCTTCACAAGTGCAATGCAACAGTGCTTCTTTCTCAGCCTCTTTCATGCCACGGCGCCCCGCGCTCTGGAGCCCGCTCGATCGTCGTGGCCCCATACCGAATCGGAAAAAGAAAGCAGCAATCCCAACTGCGCAACGCGCGAGCGAGGCAGTTCAGAGGGCCGGGGGTGGCGGCTGACGGCTGCTCTGCTGCACTGCATCACGAGTAACGGAGAGGGAGGGGGAGAGGGTCAAAGTGGTGAGGGTGGGGGGGGATATCGGATACTGAACGGCACGGAGGGAGGAGAGTTCGTCTTGCCCCAGCTTGCGAAACGTGAGGCTCTTTCCTTTTCCTAGAATTCCGAAGATACCGCGCAACCACCGGGGACTTTGCCGTGGGTGGCGCGCCACGAAAAAGTACCGCAATAGAACAAAAAAAAAACGAACGGCAATGAAAGGGCGGCTTGTGTGGGATGCTGTGGGTTCGCTCTCCACACTCGGTTGCCACGTTTTGTTTACGCGACAAACCCTTACTAATTGGCTGCGTCGGGTGGTGGCGGGTTCAAACGACTCATGAATACGCGCGCGATCGAACCTTGGTGGCGAAAGCTCAGGAACGTGTTAAACTGA